CTGCTCCGGAAAAGCTGCTCGTCGATGCAAATCCTCCTTGTTGTGATCCTGCTCCGGAAAAGCTATTCGCCGAGCCAAATCCTCCTTGCTGTGATCCCGCTCCGGAAAAGCTACTTGCCGAGCCAAATCCTCCTTGCTGTGATCCTGCTCCGGAAAACCTACTCCCGGAGCCAAATCCTCCTTGCTGTGATCCCGCTCCGGAAAAGCTACTCCCGGAGCCAAATCCTCCTTGCTGTGATCCTGCTCCGGAAAAGCTACTCGTCGAGGTAAATCCTCCTTGCTGTGATCCTGCTCCGGAAAATCTATTCGCCGAGCCTTGCTCCTGTTGGTAGTCCAAATTTTCCCTCTGGAAATTACTGATAATTTGCTGGTTAACGTTGCCGACACTGCGGCGTTCTTCTTCCACATGGCTACCGACATCGATACCCTTTTCGAACACGATTTTCTGTTCATTATGGGCGTGATTTGCATGGGCAGTGGCGCCGGCATTGTATTGATTACGGTTGCCAATGGGAACGACTAGGTTCTCTGATTCATCGTACTGGCCACGTTGACTGAAGCTTGCTTGAGATTGCGCTTGCGGAACCGAAGTGGCGTACATGACAAAGACCTTCTCGTCCTGTTGCTGTTGTTGCTGTTGACGATTGAAGGGAGTCACGATCTGGACGTTCTCTTGCTTGCGCTGTTGTTGACCCACCTGATATACGATCTGGGGAACGGCACGGTCAACGACCAAGGGAATGGCCTGCTGGATGATGTGTGGTGAAACCTGTCTAATAACGTCCGGTATGGCTTGCCTTAGGATCTGCTGGGTAATGTCTTCTTGATTGAGCGTAACTGTGGCCAGTGGTTGAGCTGCTGCTTCTGTTTGAACTGGTGCAAACTGCTGAACAGGTGCCACCTCCTGTACTGGTGCAACAAGTTCATCCTGCACGACTTCTGCAGTAGCTTCTGCGTTTGTCTCCACGTTTGATTCAACGACGATCGGGCCGGAAAGGGCAACCGGTTCATCGGCAGCTGCGTGAGTCTCCACTACCGGTGCAACATCATCGTCGTCGTCGTTGACAATTGCCGTAGCGTCTGCCGAAGCGACAACAGCAACGGTTTCCTCTTCGGCTACGTTTGGACCACGAACGTCCAGTTTCAGATTCTGCGGTACTCCAGCGTCGTTGTGAACTTCCACGTTCGCTACCGGTGCAACCGTCTCTTCGATTGTAATGTGCTCGTCAGGTAACGTGTACGAGTGACCTTCGGATTTCACCATCTCTACGGTGTAATCGGATTGTACACTGTGGGCAGAAGCACCCGCAGATGCAGCGTTAAAAGGCACATTGATTGTGGTTTGTGGCAAAGACTGCACCTTTGCGCCAGAATCTGCAACATCGGCATAGCTGTACGAGAAGGACTGCGATGGCACTATGCTGAAGTCTACTCTTGGAGCGGTTTGCTGCACTTGGGTTTGGGTGAACGGCTTCTGAACGACGAACGTGCTCGATACGACCGGAGCTGCCGTGTGAACAGCTGGTGATAGAACTGCATTCGATTGTTGCGGTGGAGCTGGATGACGGTAGTAGGAAGCTGGTGCAGGCGCTGGTCGAGGGACATACACAATAGGCTGAATCACGCGCACGATTGGTGCAGGTCGAGCTGGAGCAGGTGCCTGTCGGTAGTAAGAGGTATGTCCTGGATGAACAGGGGCTGGAGCCGGAGCTGGGGCCGGGGCTGGTGCCTGTCGGTAGTAAGAGGCATGTCCTGTATGGACAGGAGCTGGAGCTGGAGCCGGAGCTGGAGCCTGTCGGTAGTAAGAAGCATATCCTGTATGGACAGGAGCTGGAGCGGGAGCCGGTGCCTGTCGGTAGTAAGAGGCATATCCTGGTTGGACAGGAGCTGGAGCCGGAGCCGGTGCCTGTCGATAATAGGAAGCATATCCTGGGTGGACAGGAGCTGGAGCCGGAGCCGGTGCCTGTCGATAATAGGAAGCATATCCTGGTTGGACAGGAGCTGCCGCTGGAACAGCCTTAGGAGCGGGTTGCAGCAAATCGAGGAATGTGCTGATGGTTGCTTCCGCACAAACGGCCAGCGCCAGTAACGTCAGTAGAATCTGCGAAAAAAATAACACACACACAATCACAATCACAGTAGTCCATGATACTTGTGCCAGCGCCAATTTGCAAAGTAGGCAACACTTCCTGGTCACTTTCACTTGTTTGCATCATTGTCTCTTCCATCATTCATCTAATTCTATTTGGTATTTCCCAAGCACAAGTTAAGCTGAACAATGCATTAGGTCCTAAGTAACATTGAAAGCTTACCCTCGCCGATTTTCTCCAAACAGATCAATGAAAGAAGCTATTATCTAGCTTCTAATGCGACAACAGGTTATTAACGAAAGAGAAAATCGATTAAGAGAATCGATCAATGTTACTTAGGACCCAATGCATTGTTCAGCTTGAAGTGTTCTATTCCACTAAAGAATTCGCACAGCACTGCTCACCTTCATTTTGAAATTCAACACTTATCCCGGAGATGGTGCAACCGGACTGACAGGCGATAACCGTGACACTGAAATGCGTCGCCGAGGAGAGTAAGAGTTTTATACTACACCCTCCGAACACCCAAAAGATATAAGTTTTTGATTTCTAAATATTTCTTAAGGCCGGATCTGGTCTCAGGGCTCATCGCTTCTGCGCGCTCGGGACGAACATAGATATGCGAATCAGTCGTGTCAGTTTCCTATATTTGAATTTTTATATCTATTTCGCCTCCGCATATAGCGTTTTCGATGGGAGTCCATTCCAATTTTGTTTTTCTATATGTCGAAGTTTGTGTTCCAATAAAAATGTATCTATAATTTGGTTGGGGCTCCACACCTGGCCTTAGGTCTTAGTAAGCCAGCGAAAGCCTTGTAGCCGAATTAGCATCAAAAGAAGAAGATCGTCAGGCGTTTCACGATGACCACAGAACCACTCACTACTACTGCTGCCATGGGACAGATATTCCTGAATGGCAGAGGGTCGAATTTTATGCAAATTGACGCTCTCGGATTCGGCGCCTTATCTGTCCCATTCCATCTTCTAGCTAATTCAAATGTTTAGCGAAACTGGAAAAACTTGTGTTTGGGCAGCAGGTTTCCCAGGAGAAAAACAACATTATTTTCGATTTCGAACTATCCTTGGCGATATACGGAGAACGTGCGCCCTTGCGTAAGTTTCTCTGCAGTGTCAGTGTCACGCACAACCTTCAATTTCTCTTTGATTAATAATCTTCATCTATCTTCATCGATTTAAGAATGTATGCGGCTAACCTCTGGTCGGTGTTACGATCTTCGATGTCGAAATCCATTTAGCAGAATTGGCCAGAGATGTTCTCTTTTATGGAAAATTATGCAAAATTTCACAATGTCACGTTTTAAACCCATGAATAATCGTAGTAGGCTCGAATGGCATTCGAAGAAAAAGAATCACCAAAAAAAACCGGTCGACCTTTCATCTGTGGGATGCGACCGGTGCGTTACCAGTGGTTTCTTTTCGGAATCGATTTCGATTTTCTAAGTCTCAGGTGGTTGCTTTGAAGCCGAAACCGAATGAAGCGCTAAAACCCCGATCGGATCGGCAAAAGTTTAAACCCCGATCGGATGTTCTGATGTTTGTTGAATACCTTCCTAATGACCTTTTTAGCGATCTGATTTCTCGACAACTCTATTATGGACCGCCATTGAATGTTAGGTTATTAGAAATTTATGAAAATTTATGCTGCGTGTGCATTGAAGAAGGTTCTGAAATCAAAGCTCGCCGACACATTGTTGGAAGGAACCCGGGGATAGATTTGAACAGCGAATATTGTGGATCTTTTGCAAATTAACCTGGTCGCAGCTACCGCACGTCTAATCACAGGTAGGAGATAATGTATGCTATTAGTAGGCTGCGATTACTATTAGTATGGCTCAGTGTTGACTAAAATCAAGATCAGAAAATCAAAATCAACTAATCTTTCAAGATCAATATCACCTTAAATCACAGGCACCAATATCACAAGCAGAGCTGGTAAATATCACGGCCGTCATGTGAGAATGAGAAAACAGGTCCTCTCACTATCACGAGACGAAACTACCTATCATTAGTTTTCTTGTCATTTTCCAATGATCAAGCACTCATGAGAATATGTAATTCTATTGCGGTTTTTCCATCTACATTTCTAACTGATTTAGATTAATTCAAGCAAGTAACCGTATGTAATCGGTAGAGTCAATATATTATTACGATTTTCACAAGTACAAGTAACTTTAAAAGTGATAAATGAGCTAGTAATTACGATGATGACAACACTGCCACATTTTGTCATGACGAAAAATTCGATGAGATTTTGAAGAAAATCTCTATTATCGTTGTCTCATCCGATGATAGTGACAGAAGTATCTCTGTAAATATCGCGTGAGATCTTTAATTGAAAATGAAATTTGCCAGCCCTGATCACAAGCCATCATCACCACGAAAATCACCCGTGATTTTCGACCAATATCTGTGATTTTCGAATCAAATCATCGAAAATCATAGAATTAGAAGATATGTTAAATTCTAAAATCTGGGAAATTCTCAAATTCAAGTCAGCATTCCGGGTGAAATTGAAATGGAGGATTTCAACCCAAGATGGCTATCACAAATCCAAGATGGCGGACCAAATCCAATATGGCGGCCTCCGGACATCGTATATGCATGTAAACTCATTCAATATGGGTATCTACGGAATAGGCTCGATTACTAGAAGTGAAAAATTGACATCCGCCGCCATTTTGGAATCCAAGATAGTGGACCGCCATATTGGAGTTTTCCGGACAGCAAATATGCATCTAAACCCATGCAATATGGATATCTACGGAATGCGCTTAATGAGTAGAAGCAAAAAATTGACATCCGCTGACATTGTGTAATTCAAGATGGCGGACCAACATCCAATATGGCGTCATCCGGACAGCGAATATGCATCAAAACCTATGCAATATGGGTATCTATGGAATGGGCTTGATGAGTAGAATTGAAAAATTGACATTCGACAGTATTTTTGAATTCAAGATAGTGGACCGCCATATTGGAGTTTTCCGGACAGCAAATATGCATCAAAACCTAAGCAATATGGGTATCTATGGAATGGGCTTGATGAGTAGAAGTGAAAAATTGACATCCGACGGTATTTTTGAATTCAAAATGGCGGACCAAATCCAATATGGCGACCACCGGACAGCAAATATGCATCTAAACCCATGAAATATGGGTTTCTACGGAATGGGCTCTTTGAGTAGATGTGGAAAATTGACTTAGGCAATTCTGTTCATTTTGATTTACTCATGAAACGGGAGATTCGTGAGATACCAAAACATCATCGTTCCATGATTGTTCCGACAATTTATGCTACAAAGTTTGGCCAAGATGATTCCACAAGATCATTTTTCACAGATGGATCACTTTGAAGAAGGTGTGTGTGTGTGTGTGTATTCAATCTAACTCCCACTGGCCGGCAGTGGTATTATGGAAGAAATTTGCTTACAACAATCCTTGATGTAATAATTTATAGCAAGTTTAGTCCGGGAGTTAGAAAGCGATAGCTCTACTGCAGATTCAGCAACCCATTTCAGAATACCTGGTAATTCACGTCCATTCCGAGGTTACTTTCACATACAATAAGCCCCGCATGTAAATACTACCGTTATCATATGAATAATGGTACTGCCAACACACTTCCAGATTTCGAAATCTGGCGCGTATTTAGTAATAGGGGAATTTACGTATTCTCGTCAATCTAAGCAGCGTCCGCACTTCTAATAGCATTTTCACAGCGTCACGCACATATTTGACGTGTCTGTTTGTTTCAATTCATCTGCTGCTTGCTTCTCTACCCATTCCAATCGACAGAATTCTTCAAAACTGTTTGAAAGCATGTTTACAACGCTCTAAACTTCTCAGGTGAGTGTGACTATTGTCGTCAGCCTCTTTTTCTTCGGCAACCTTCCCATTAGAACTGCGTGTTAACCAGCTGTTCTATTATCGGCAACTCGAAATCAGCCCCATTTTGTAGTACGTATGCTTCATTTGAAGAAAAATCTGGCATAACAAGATTGCTCGGTCCTACAAATATAATCAGATTGAAGCTGAAAGACTAAAGAATCGTTTGGATACATTCAGGGAAGTGTGTTGATGGTAAAACATAGTGAAATTAACGTTTAAATTTTGGTTGCCGAAAACAGTCAATGGGTGCCGAAGCCGACATTTACCCTATATGGAAATATGCATTTATGATTGATTATAAGTCAGATGGATCTCACCAATTCTGCCTTCGAAAAAGGACCGGTTTGTTCACTCGCGGTAATTGAAAAAATCTTCCGCGTTGTTTTTACAACCCAACACGACATTTTGAATCACGTTCGAAGTTTTTTTTTCAGATGGATCACTACGAAGAAGGTGGTGGTGAAATATTCGGGACGTCGCTGGAAAGCTCAATGTCTCCCATACTACTGTGCAGCGGGCCAAGAAACGAGCCGGATTGTCGATGTTTAAGAAGGTGAAGGTGGCGAACCGAGATTACAAACAAAACACGTCGGCAAAGCAGCTTCCTATGATTCCATCTATTAACGTCCTTTTAAACAAATCACCTTGAAGATGTGGATATAGTTCATTCAGGACGGCCAAATTGCAACCAGCACCAAGCCGATTAGGATTCCCAGGTAGCAATAATCACGGGCTACTTAGAGTTGGTTTAAAACCTATCTATTTGCTCTGTCATCATCATCACTGACACTAGCGACTTATAAACAGTAGTGCATTAGTGACGACGATGATCCCCCGTTCTTGTTCGCATTACTGATAGCAAATATCAGCGCCACCCTAGTATAGACTGTTCCAGAAAGTATAAGCACACTTTCAAAATAACAAAAAAGTGATGTTTTTTTTAGTTTTAATAATTTTATTTGGCAAATCATATTTGTATTTGTATTTCAAATGATATTTTACTCTCGTTTAATCAACATATTTAATCATAGCCAAGACTCCTAACTTTTCCTCGAACTTGACCCATTAGCTTCTGCACAGTGGTACTTTCCACCATTTTGACCACTTTTGGCCAATCTTTTTTGAATTTTTGGATGTTATCCGCTGGTTTTATTAATTTTCGAAGCTTTGCTTTGGTTAAAGCCCAAAAAGTCTCGATTGGCCGTGCCTCCGGGCAGTTCGGCGGATTCATGTCTTTCGGCACGAAACATACATTTTGACGCCAAATCAGACCAAAATACTACTTGACCTTCGTGCTGCCTGATCATCGGCAACAATCGCCTCTGGAGACATTACTTAACGTATTTCTGAGTGTTCATCGTCTCCGTTGTGATGTACGGACTAGATGTTTTACCACACTCGCATATTGCCTGCCAAACCATAACCTTCTTACCGAATTTTTCGGTAAAAATTGCCTTCTCCGTTTCGGGGATGCCCTTGCCTTCGCTTATAGTATAGAATT